AGGGAGAGTGTGAGCAATACACATCGCGACACGACATTTGTCAGCGTGCGCTACAACACACACGAGGCCGGGCAGATGCAGACACACACACGCACCGCGCACCAGTGACACGGAGTTACAAGGTCTATTTCAAGGCGACGAGAGAGAGAGACTTGCCGGGCCCAACAAACGACCACTTGATTGGTCAAACGCCGCAAGGTCACGGTTTTGTTCTAGCCACCCTCGTTCGAAACACACGTAGGTCAGGTTACATAAAACGATCACATGTCAAAACATTATCATACTTTGATTTTATTTTTATTTCACTTGATGTCACTTTATTTCGTTTTTGTGTAGGGGGTATAAACCACAAGGACAATTTAAATGCTAGTTTTCACCATCACTACCTTTCCTCCTCCCCACCACCTTTCCTCCTCCCCAACTCCTGAGCTTAGACGAATGAGACCTCCTCATTCGTCCAAGTCCTTAGCCTTCAGGATCGCCCAGAAAGTACGTCCGTTTTACTCAGATCCATTCGACTAAATTGGAATGAGGGAAGCTCGGCGCCTGCGAGACTCAGGGTAGGCTACCCCGCAATGCAGGCAAAGACGTTGCCTACCCACCAGGCGCTATGAGAGCTTGCTATGAGATGGAAGGCTGAACTTCGCAGTTTCGTAACGGCAAATGACGGACATGCGACATGCGTTCTGGGTTATCCCTTAGCATGAGAACGATACTCGCCAGACCAGAACATGCCGCCGCCCGACCGCCCCCGACACACACATAGCCCGAATGGTCAGCCCCCGAGGCGCCAGTGGCACCGTCCTTTGTTCGATGTCGATGTCGATGGTCGTTCTCGGTGAAACGTTAACCACCAGGCCTCGCGGCAGTTGCTGGACCAGCAGGGCGGACTCGCTGGCAGCGGGGGTGGTGGCCAGGGAGGGCGGCCAGGCCGTCTCCTCAACGGCTCCAACTGACTGGGCAGCGGGCCGAGTTGCCTCTCCCGAGTTTGCTTGGCGTAATGTACTGGCGCAAGCGGCGCTAGTTGTGGGTTGTGGCGGGCTGGAGGGCGGGCTGGAGGCCCACAACCCCCACAGGTCCACCGGCGGGCTCCAGGCGAGGCGTTAGGCGGCCGAGGTCATAAACTGACGGAGGGGTCGGGGTTGACGAAACAACACAAAATCAACGCACATCGCGACATGTCCCGGTTTGTGGTCCCACCCATTCGTCGAGTCAGCTCAATCCGACCCGACTGTAGAAGGTCCTTTTTCGGGCAACGTGCAATCCGACGCCCCCGGAGTGCAAAGCAGAAGCCAAGGACCCCCTCGTCCAGACGACCGTTGCAGACCATTAGCGGCAACTGCACCTGGACCTGGAAGTCCGTCGCACGGAAAAAATAAATTAGGTGGTATAGGTAACGCGTTGGCTAGCTACCTGGTTGACAGACAACATGTAAGATTGGTTGTGCCAGCTACCATCTAAGCTTCTCCTACTGTAATTTAACCTCATTAACACGTTTCCTGCGGCGACACCACTATGTGGTCACGCCCTTAAAAAAAACCAAATGCACAGCCGCAGGGATCGTGTTAACTACGAAAGCTGAACCTGGGTTCAGTTGGAGTAAGCGACCACTTCCCCCCCGTCACAGTCCGTGGCCGACGTGCTGCCCTCCCTGCCAGATCGCCGATGAAATCGAATCGACGTTTTTGCCCTTAAATCGAGGAATTTTCGAACTTCGACGTCGAGTTTGCATTTCTGGCTGGGCTGGGCGCCGCGGTCCGCCGGTCCCGCGAGGGGGGAGGGGACCTAGGGGGGACACCCGTGGGGGCCGCGCAGGCGGGCCAAATGTGGAGCAAGTGTTGCTCACGAGACGTACCTAGGCGCGGTTTAAAGGGGTGGGCGCGGGGGGAGGGGGGGGCGACCGTTGTCCCTTGTCCATTATCCCTAGTGAGCCGCCTGCAAGGTAGGCAGTTTGTGTCACAAAACCCCTGCAAGTAGGCAACCCACGGTACGTTGCAGCTGAACCTTTTACCGCGCCTGGACGTACCTGCCGACCATGGTCACGGGCGCTGCAGCATAGCATTTTTGTCGTTTCATAACACGTTCTTAATTTTCATAAAACATTTGTTCTTAAATCTAAGAACCGATTTGTTTTGTAAATTGCTTCCAAACAGGTGTCCTTAAAATTAAGATGGATTTTTTTTTTTTTTTACAGTGTTGTAAAGGGGTGTCCGATCGGGAGCTAATTCGCGGACTGGCGCGGCGGCTCGGCTAGAACCAGCAAACAGAGAAGCCGGCATCACAGGTCCAAATAAATGCTAAAACATGCTAAGACTTCATTCCAAAACACAGAAGCAACTTTGACACAGTTGACACAACGCCTTACCTTCTTATTCTCGGCGGCACCAAACGGATTGCGCCCACGGAGTACCACCTCGGACATGAGCGCAACAAGCGTGGCGCAGTGGAACGCGCGGCGCATGGCTTCAGGGGCGCTCTGCGGACTCGAGCGCTCGCCGTTCAAATTCGAACGAGACATCTGACGAAACTTTTGGTACCATTGAGTTCGTTGGACCCTCCCCCATGATTCGAGAGCTATACGAGCTATAGTCTCATGCGGGGAGAGTTTATGGCTGAAAGCGCCGGGGGGGTAGGCAATCAGTTTGCGAGTTTTGTCTGTGGGTGGAGGGCGCCCCCGCGCCCCATAGTGTTTGTCGAGGTGGGTCTGGGGCCTTTCGGGTAAAGAGCCTCAGAGGCTCTTTACTTTCGGATTGACGTGGAGAATGCGGAGAGCAGGTCCTTGGCCTGCCTGGAGGCGTCGGACTTCACGTTGCCCCAAAAAGTATGTTCTATAGTCGCGGGTCGGATTGCGCTGACTCTGGCCGCCGGATTTGTGGCCATATTTTTGTAGCCACAAGCAGGGACGTTATCCCGACGGTGTGTTCGGAATATCGGAATTGAAGATAAAACCGTGGAGCCCGCAGAATTCAGGGTTTAAGGAACAGTAATTACGAGTGAACCTGTTGAGTGTTTAGGGTCATTTCCGTTAGGAGCGAAGAGGGCGCTGAGGAGGAGGGAGGGGAAACAGTATGATAGAGGGAGAGAGGGAGGGGGGAGGGGGTGATAGGCTGGGAAGGAAAGGACAGGGGCAGAAAATGAAAAAGGCCGTCGACGAGTACACATGCAGGTTGACAAGATGAATAAATGCATGAGGATAAGAAGAGGAGAAAGGGGGAGAGAGGGAATGTACGGCGGACAGCAGCTGGGACGCGTGCGGCATAGGAAAGATGAAACGCAAATGCCCTCCTCCAGAAATTATTCGCACCAACTACCCGCGCTCCGCTCGTTCGCCCCCTAACCACGAACGGGGGAAGTCCCAATCCCAAGCCCCCGTCCACATGAAAGCATTAGGTTTTGTGATAACAATAAGACTAGTCGGGGGAGGGGGGGTTGTGTTCTCCTTCTTAAGGGCTCCAGTACTTCAGATTGCCCAAAAATGTCACACGGGTAATGGGTGCCCACCTGGATGAAGCAGGACGACTCCCCTTCCAGTCCACGCCCCTCACTCCCGCGCCTCCTCCTGGCTCGCGTTCGAATATAGCTCTCCACAAGTCTCTTCCATGCCTGTCGCGCAGCCAAACAGAGCGAGAAGCGCGGGGAAGCGCTTTCGGAAGCGGCCTGCGAGCGCGAGAGCTGGTGTTGGCAGACGTAATCCTCGGGAGCTCCGCGGCCCAGAGGAAGATGTAGGTCAATGCGTGAGCCCTCTTGTCTGCAACCCCGCGGCGTACTGGCCAGATTCCTTGCATTAAGTCGCGGCACGTGAGCGGGAGAGAGAAGAGGCCCCTACAGTGGCTGAACTTGATTCATTTCGAGGAGCTGATGGAAAAGGGGAGGGCGCTACTACTGTGATGGAGGTTCCCGCAAGACCCATCCATCGAAAGGGACTTCACCAGCATTGGACAGGGAACCAGGTGTCCACATAAGAAGATGCCCCAACACTTGCCTCGCCTGCAGCAATGCGAGACCTGGACTGGACTCGCTAAGTCCCAGCTTCGTCTTTCTTTCAGTGGATTTTAACGAGAATAGTGCTCGCTGGTTTTGCGGTGTGCGAGCGAACAGCGTCAGCGTCCTCCTAGCAACTGTGTGGTGTGGCGGTGAAGGTAAAAGTTCACAAGTTATGGTTTGAACTGGTGTATTCATAAAGACAATGAACCAATAAAGAAACTTGAGTCTAATATCAGTCACCATACATCAGAAAAAATACTTATAAATATTTACAAATGTTCTATTATACATGCCACTTTCAGAAAAAGAAATCAAGAGCAGAAAAAGAGATTTCTGTGCATAACTCAAAGAACTAATCATCCTTTTGACTGGGACTTTTAGAAGGATAATTTACATAACTGGCAAGGTTTAGAAGTTGGGGGTTCAGAAGTAAACAGCGTATCACAATTCTAAAGTTCTCCATTTTAAAAAGTCAAGCGTAAAACATACATTAAACTGCTTCGTTCAATAAATATAAATTAAATTATAGAGCTCTATAATGAGGAACAAAGCTCCTGAAGTTCATATAAAATTAAGTTTTTGAAGTGGAGAAAAAAAGTTGTGGTGAAACATTAAATTAATGTTGATCATCAGACGCAGACAACACCTCCTTTTCTCCACATTTGGCCAGTTTGGTATGCAAACATGTTTTTCAGTCTTAAATAGCCTATATTTGTGCTTAAATTGCTGATTGGCCTTGATAATGAGACTTTATGCCTCTCTTAACAAAAATTAAAAGTACGTTAAAAACATATCATGATAAATAATTTGTGAACTACAACACCTATTTTTCAAATTTACTATACAACCTGTAACACAATCAGATCTTTATAAGTGATTTACCAGAAAATGAATGGTAGCAATTTAACAAGACTTCATGATGTGACCAGAAAATCAAATAAAAGAAAGAAAGGAAATTTTGAATGAATATTTGTTTACTGATCCTCCCCAATCTTGAATCCCCCAATATCATGAATTTTTTCAAGCAATAACTCATGGAACAGAAAAATTGTTTTCAGTTGGCAACTTCCTTTTTTTCTTCCTTTCTTTTTTTATGCCAAATCTTCAGTACACATTGTAAGAAACAGTTGCCAGCCTGATGTAAGTTAATGATGTTCTTCTGCATCAAAAGTTGAAGTTTTGGTGGGAAATATGAAATATTGGATTATCAATCTCTCTGGAACTATACAAGGCAAACTGATCATAACAATAAAGAATAAAGGCGTTCAATATGTACTTTGGCAGTACATTGCCACAGCTTGAATTAAAGACCAAAATTTGCATTAAAATATAGCTAACTGCAAAATAGAAAGGCCCCATATAAGTCATTCCGTTCCATGCAATCTTGCCATGTAAAGTAGCCTGTCACATCAAACAAGCCAGACCTTAAAGGAAATGAGTGACATAGATTTCATCTAGGTACTTCAAAATAAAAACTGGTACAATGCCAAAGAGAAAAGTAGATCTTGGATTTTTTTTTAAATGTGTTTGATAATATACATGGCCTGATATGTCAATTTACATACATAATAAAGTACAGTAATATGCTTTATCCTTGCTTATTAGCTAGATTTAATCATCTTAAATTTCTAATTTGTATACATGTATACAGTAATGGTGCATACTACTCAAGTCATACATAGAAGAAAGCCTCATAATTGTTCTTGATTGCACTGTGAAGTCATTGAGGTGCTTGGACTTGCAAGGTCATTGGCCAGAAAAAAATACAGGACTCAAGCAATCCCTCTTAATCTACGTCTAAAAATCTAATAGGATGATCAGAAAACATGATTCAAATTAATGCACGACAGAACCCAGAATAACATTCTTAGAAGTAAGACAGAACTTTGATTACTTAATCGGTTTGACTACAGTAAAATAATATCTCATAATCCGATTACAACAAATGAAAAGATTCAGACACGTATGCCTGTTTTAAAAACATTTTGCACAAGCTGTCACCTAAAATAGGCCTTCTAAAATATCATCTGCAAATTTTGTACAATAACTATAGAATTCTCCTAGATCAGAGTTAGATTAAAACTCTATATGGCAGTGATTGAAGTTAAGAACTAATTGGTTGCAATTCCTTAAACCAACTGTAGGTTATGACAAAAGTTGTAGCTGAAAAATAATACCAAAAGGTTTCAAGCGATTATAAGAAATTGCTTTTCAAGTATAATATAACAATAATTTAGTACATGTCCATTGAGCCACATTTGGAGCTGAAACTGGGGCAAGATTAGTAAGAAACTCTAAAATTTTTAAAAAGTAATAATTAATGTTCATTGTTCCGTGGCTTAGAATTTAAAACTACACATGTACCTCTATATGATCAATTCGTTAACTATACCCATACATACAAATTTACTATTCTATTCTACAACAATTGAGCTCTACTACAATACCATATTGATTTTAACACAAAGATAGAGAAATAGAATATTTTACTTCATTTCTAGTTACTAATGTCTTTAAGAATATGTATAATTGATCAACAACTTATTTGACTTCTATAAAATACATCAAGATTCAATACACATGCTAATTCTCACAAAAATGTCACATTTTGTACAAGATATAGTATATGAAACTACAATAACTCACTCTTTAGGATCAAAAAGCAGACCACTATGTACATTTAGCCAATGAGAATCAAGATGGTAACATTATGAAGGGTCAAACAAAGGGACCATTATACAACTCTAGGCCAGCGACTGGGCTGCAGGAATATCACAGAGAAAAAAAAAGTTAAGAGGCAGAAGTGCTCACTAGATAGTTTAAATAGCTACCAAAATGTATCCGTGTTGACTTTATGAAAGAAATCACCATTAGATGGTAGAATGGTGAAAATACAATGATGTAACTGAGATTACATGTAATAATTGGTGGGTAAGACATACACGAGCTGCCCAGATTGTGTTGTCCCTGCTGCATGAGCACGACCCTCCAGAGAATCTCTCTCACTGGCGTACTGAAGACCAGCATCTGTGGTATGAGAGCTCAGACTTATTGTGGTAGAGCTTTGATGGTGGCCCGATGGGTGATCAGGAAGAATCTCTAATCCTTCTGAATCATTCTTCATCTACAATGCAAAAGAGAATTTAAATGGCAAAATAAGAGAAGAAACAAAAAGATGAACATCCTTAACAAATTCCTATTTTTGTACTAACCACTGTGATTGTAGTGGAGTTTTCCAATTCATGTATGTGAATATTTTGATGAAGAGAAGTATGGTCTTGCGAGTCAGGTGTATCAACCTCTGCTTCTGATTCTACTACCTCCATCTTATGGTTATTGCCACGGGCAGCACTTGGACCAGCTGCACGCTGTCTTTCTCTATTGTGAGTATTCAGATGACGTTTCATGTCAGATCGCACTCTAAAGGGTTTATCACAGACCTCACAGCGGTGTGGCTTTTCACCTAAGAAACAGGAATTTTGAAAATTATTGAGACAATTCCCATTTAAAAGTTAGGTAATGTATGAGATGTTTAAAAGGGAGAAAAATCAATGACCTGTGTGAATCCTCCGGTGGTTTTGGAGATACGAGGAAGCTCGGAACTTCTTATTACAAAATTCACATACATAGTCCTTTTCTCCAGTATGTATGCGCCGGTGAACAATAAGTGAATACTTGCGAGCAAAGTCCTTTCCACAATATTCACATTGGTACTGCTTTTCTTCTGAGTGACGGGATGTACAATGGTACTTAAGATCTCCCCATTGGCGGAAATTTCTTCCACAGAATTCACATTTGTAAGGCTTATCTCCAGAATGGAGCCGCATATGAACCTTTAAACAAGTTAAATAAATGTTATGAAAAATAACAATAAACTTAAAAGAAAAAATTACACTTGGAACACACAATACCTTCAGTGCACTAGTTGCAAAAAAGCTTTTCCCACACTCTTCACATTGATGAGGTCTCTCCCCTGAATGACTTCGTAGGTGGTAAACTAAAGAATTGCGATGGTTAAATACTCGATCACACTGAGTGCATGCAAGTCGCTTAAGGGGTTTCTTTCCTCTTGGAGATTCGTCGTCATCGTCCTCTGTATTTTTTTCTTTCCCTTTCTGTCGCAATTCTAAATGTTCTATTCTGTAATATCAAGAGAGAAGATTTAAATAAACTAACGTTTTAAATGAAAGTTTCAAAAGAACATTCAGGTTTTCCTTACCTAAGGTGTTGATTTAACCTTGCTTTAGAGTGAAATGCATCTCCACACAATTCACACATGTGATTTAACTCAAGCTGTTGTGACGGCTGCTGTTGCGGTGTAGGTTGTTGCTGAATGTGTTGCTCTTGGCTGTGGTGCTGCTCATTCTCAGCATGTTGTAAAGCTTGCAGATCAGCTTCTGTTGCTGAAAGATCTTCGTCTCTGTACCAGACAGAGTGGGATTTCTGAAGGTTATCAGATCCATGAGTTGTTAAAGTAGTCAAGCGGACCATTGACTCCACAACTTCTCGTATACCTTCCATCATGTCTTCTGGGTCACTAAATTGTTCTATATCTTCCTGCAAATATCAAAAACAAAAAATTTGTAAGCACATGAGTAAATACAGCAGTGCAATACAGCAAAAAAAAAAAAAAAAAAATGAAAAATTGGAGAACCCCGTACTGACTAAGAGAGGATTGGCAGATAAACAAAAAAACAAATATTAAAATGTAAGTACCTGTTTTGGATGAGCAACACTTAGATGAGTTTCTAGTGTTTTTTGACGTCTAAAGAGTTTTCCACAAATATTGCATGATAAATTAAGAGATCCTGTAATGGTTGAAACAGGGGGAAGGATAGGAACTAATGGGGGAGGTTCTGTTTCAATTACAGTGTGTTGCAAGGATGGATGACTTTGGCGACTTGCTTGAACATGGTGCTGTTGATTACGATGCTGAATATGTTGAAGGTTCTCTTGGTCATTTTTTGATGACCTCAAACGACCATTCTGAAGTTGGTGAATTTGAGGGAGGTGAGCCTGCTGTTGCTGTTGCTGCTGTTGCTGCTGTTGCTGCTGTTGATGTTGCTGCTGCTGTTGATGCTGCTGCTGCTGCTGCTGCTGCTGCTGCTGCTGCTGTTGCTGCTGCTGTTGCTGTTGCTGTTGTTGATGTTGCTGCTGTTGATGTTGTTGGTGATGGTGTGAATTTAACTGATGATGAGGCTTATTCATACCTTGGACAGGTATATTTTCTACTTTTAGAATCATTGTTTGCATCTCTACATCCTGATTTTCAATTATTTCTTCTTGACGCCTTGCTTGCCGCTGTCCTTGTAAGCCCTGGTGATGCTGAGGAGTGTGAGCAGCCTGTCGTTGAACAAGCCTTTGATTGTGTTGTTGCAGAACTTGGTGGTGATGAGTTTGTTGCTGAGCATGATCTTGCACCAATGGTTGAAGATTATGTTGCTGCTGTTGTGGCTGCTGAATTTCAACAATATGATGTTGTAATCGATGAGAGTCATCTTTCACAACAACAACTGAAGAATTCTGGGAGAGAAAAATTTAAGGTTACTTGAGAATTTCCAGAAGACAACCATAGATAAACCATCATGAAACCATTCAAAATTAAAACCTCGGTACATACCACATTGCGATCAGTCACTTTTGGATGACTTGAGCCATTTTCCACATTCACAGATTCCTCTGCTTCTGGTGATATGTTACCCACAAATGTACCAGTGACAGGTTCATAGTGGACCTTCAAGTGTTCAAAAAACTTCAGTTGGTTTGGTATAGTTTTGCCACATATTTCACAAGAATAAGATAATCCTTTTTTACTGTCTGTGTTGTGGGTAATTCTATGAGTTGCATATGCAGCTTGAGTATCAAACTGATCTCCACACTTGTTACATTTGTAACATTTGGCATGAACACTGAAAAACAAAAGCAACCCACCATGAGGTTCAGAGTACACAAAAAATCATCACATACAAGAAATGTGTTGTTATTCTTACGTTCTGGGCAGGGGAGATTCAGACTGTGCTTTACGAGGATTTCTTAACTTTTTAGAAAGTCTCTTTTTGTGAGGAAGACTTCGCCTAGATGTTCTCATGTCCCCTTCCCCATCAAAATCTGAATCATTTATATCTTCAATGGGTACATCACCATCACTACCCTCTCCAACTTCAGCTGATCCGTCTAGGCCTTCCACCTCTTCAACCATACCTTCAGCTAGGTCTACTTCCTCATGCTTCACTATCAGTCCTAAAAGCAGAGAATACATTTAATTTCCAGCCAAGAAGACCAATATCACATTGAATCCAAAGCAATACAATGCCTAGCTGATTCTTGTAAACAAAGACATTTTTAAATTTGCAGGGAAATGTTACCCCGAACAACAAGATAGATTCCCTCTATTGAGCCATGTCTCAAAAATTTACCTTGTTCCTGCATTTCTACCATGCTTGTATCTCTGGAATCATGATCAGCTGTATCTGTATCGCATGATGCAGGGTCAACTGTAAGATAAATCACAAAAGACTTGAGGAAAGTCTGAAAGTTTAATGTGAATCAGGAATAAGTCTTACCTACATCATAGTACTTACGTGTTGTCCACCCTTCTGGTCCTTGAAGCAATACTCTTTGACCAGGAGTTGGTACCACAACTCCCAGTTCTGCTTGGGCATTTTGGTCAAGAACAACATGAATGAGCTGTTCTTGTACAAGCATTTGATGTTCAGGAGATTCTTCATCTAAAAGTCTTTCAGCAACATCCATTTCAGCTTGAGTCTGAACTTGAGTTTGATGGGATTGAGTTATCAGTCTTTGACTTGCCATACTAGTGACAACACTTGCTTCCTGATGAGTCAAGTAGCGAGTTGTATGATCTGTTTGGACGTCCAGCATCCGATGACCATTAATGCTTGTGGCAAGCCTATGGCTACCATTTGACGTAGTCAAACTAAAATAGAAATGCTCAGTTAATATTGAAAATACTGTCCTAGTATTAAAGATATTTTATTTGACAGTTTGAAACATGTCCCAGAAAAAATATTTCTTACTTGGTGAATAGGCCATACCTATGAGCCATTGATGCGTCCTGCGCAACTAGAATTCGTTGGTTATCTTGTGTTATTAAGCGATGACCAGAAGGTATGGGATCTTCAACCAAAATGGTATGTCCATCTGCATCTGTTGTGGCCAGTAACCTATGATGTCCATCAGTGGTCCCATCTTGTACTATGTGGTGTCCAACTATCACATTTGAACCATCTAGAGAATGGTGAGTTGTTGTCATAGGCGTCAGTGTAACTTCCTCATCAAGTGAATGATGTGACTGGGGTCTCAAATATCGACTTCGGATTGTTGAGTTAGTTAAAGCCTGTAATAGAGAAAACATTAATTTATTGTCGAATCAATATTAGTTTAATAGTAGGACAGTGCAAAGGACCTTTTTCAAAGGGGGAAGCTGTGACATTGAAGGTAGTCTTTGTTGCGGAAACATCTTGACACTTCTATCACTAGAATCAATGATTATGTGTTGAGTTGGGGTCATATCGCTTGTGGTCTGGATGTAGGCAGAGAGCATAGCTATTCCACCTTTCTCACCCACAACAGTTACAGGCGATGATAAGTTTTGAGGCTCCTCTACAACTGTCTGCTGTCGAGTATACAACATAATGTATAAACATAACTCAATGCTCCTAACACATGGAAATCAGTATAACCTGCTAAGGCAAGTACAAAGCTACTTACCAGCTCAACAAGATGACGATCAGCATCAGCTAGATCATGTTCTTGTAATATGTGATGTTCATAATATTCTTGTCCCCCATGAGTAGTAAATTCTTCCACCTGCAGAGTAAAAATTCATAACAAAATGTACTTGAACTGTCAAAGATAAAGTAATTAGAAAACATAACACAATTACCATCTGAGGATGTAAGTGGGCTTGCATTAGATCAGTGGTGAGCAATGTTCCTCCAGGTGAGCCCCCGTGTACACGCTGTATGTCAATACATTGAGTGTGTAAGTATTCATCACGCATAGTGCCTCCGAGTTTTTCAACATGAGGTGTCATTATCTCCACACCCTCAATCATTTCAACAGAGCCTTGCGAGCTCTCATCCATCTTGGTAACAAATATGTGTCAGCATGGGAAGTTGGAGAGATGTCTATGGGTTGACACCTCTGCACTGTAAATAGAAAATGGACATTAGCAAAGTAGCACAACTACTAACGTACAAACTAAGACCTGATTTACAACCATCATCTGTCTGGATTTCTTGAGAATAAAGTAATCATTTGAAACTGAACTAACAACACAGCCTATTACCAAAATACCAATGAATTGGAATTGGAGCTTACTTTACTATGCAATCATTCCGAAAGCCCAGGAAAAAAATCTACAAATGAAAAGAAAGAGGAGAAATAATTGTTGGAAGGTATAATACAAAGCACGCAACAAGGGGAAATTATGACACGAGAGTGAAAGAAAATACGCCTAGGATAAACAAACAGATCAAGCTTCCACAGTAAGTTTAGTTTTGATTTAACGTGACTTTGTTTGGAAAATAGAAATTAAACGAATGACGACGTAACTTTACATGAGTGAGTCAATGCGCTATTAAAGAGTGTTTCTTACAGAAATATGCTTCCATCAATAAATGAATAGAATGCCGTGACAACAGTGACATAACCTCAGTTCAGCCTTACATGTATACCGCTGTAAACAAAATGTCTATTCGGGTAAAAAATTTGCGAAGGCGTAAGAAGAACCTTTCAAAGGAGAAATAACCGGGATATTCATTTGTATGAGTTAATAACAGGGGATCGGGAGACCGTATATTTGATATGATTGGCAAACTATGAATAAGGGAAATAAAAAATTAAATAACGCTTCAGAAGGCATTAGCAAGGTCACTCTTTGTGAAGGGATCAACGGGCGATAATAAGTACAAATTCATTGCCGGTGTCAATAGAAATAACGCACCTACAACGAAGTTTTCATGTTTATTACGGCAAGATGTATGAGCATTCGGCGTTGCTTGAGGAGTATATACAAATAATTTCACTAAAACATAGCACCACTGTAACAAATGTGACAACAGTGTTTGCCACAAGGATCCGGAAATAGTCCTATTAGAGAGGTTTCTTCATAAAGCCATCTAGCTTCTCTTTGACAAAGTTGTTCTTTTGATCTAAACGCGACGTTTCCCGGCCCTACTAATCATTTAAAAATTAAAATGCAATGCGCCTGAAGTATTATATAGGACGACCGGGGTGAATACTTTCACAGAACCTGTGCTATGGAGCGACCGAATGCGTGCGTCATGACTCACTTTGCGAAGTCACCCCCAATGGCGCCGTAATTTAAATTGTCACGGCAAACAGACGCGTCTGTAGTTCTACCTACAACGCTAAGGCAACATTTCATGTGAAGTTCCCGGCCCTTGTGATGACCCAAAAGTAATTTTCCAATCGCCCGTAACAAAGCATTGAGGATTCTAAATAAACCAGCGTGGAGCATGTCAAAACAGTCTAAACTAAGTGAAGATGTAGAACTGACAATATTCAGGCTCCTCTAGAAATGTGATATCGGGTGTCTGGATTTATGTTGAAAGGATACCTTGTCGTTTTGTAGAAAATACAAAGTTTTTAATAACAAAAATTTAATTTACAGCACTAATACACTCAGACATCATACAAGTATTAAAAATAGCTAATACAATCACGTTTTTAAAATCATTTATTCGATGCAATAATTCATTTTAAAATACTCCAAATCACTTAACTTTGTACACTTTATACAAGGGCAAGAAAGCCCCAAACCCCACTTCGAGAGCTAGGATAGGGCTAGGAGGGAGTTCCCTATGTAAGCTGCCTTAGGCGAGGCGGGTTGGCTTCTGCCTGCACACGTCGCAGTCCACAGAGATGTGGGGACGTGCTTTCTCGAGGGTCCGGGCAAACTGCCGGCAGTTGTAGTAGTCGTGTGTGTGCGAGGAGGGCCAAAGTAGGGAGAGAGAGGCGAGCGAGGACGCCCCCCCGGCCCCAGCATCTCCGTACTCGGCCAGGAGGTCATCCCAGCAGCGGCTACGCATGGCGTCCTCGGCAAAGGGCACCACACAAAATCCTTCCTCGTCGACGTCCTCGGCCATGACGAAGCCGTCGATGGAGTCTGGGTACATGGACTCCTCGGAGACGGCGCACGGGGCTTCATGGGAGGGCTCGGGAGAGTTGACCGTCGACATCCACTCATCGGACACCACAACGCGCAGCTTCCTGAGGGACCGTCGGTGTGACCGGAGAAGCGACATTGCCGTTGGTCTTGGGAGGAACACCTGTAAAGGGAGTTAGTTATGCGATAAATTTACATTTATTCTCTAGCTTTGTAGCAATCTTACTCATTTAACCGGGAATAATAAATCCCTTACCTCGAGCCACTCCAACGTGTTCTTAGCGGAAGCTCCCTCGAAGCTGAAGGGCTCCTCCACCAAGTCGATCCCACTCCAGCCGCGCACCTCGAGACGGCGAAGGTGGGGCATGCAATCCCGCACCACCTGCAGGTGCTGACGGGTGGGGTACCGCAACTGCAGCTGCTCCACATCGGGTGCTACTTTACGGAGCAGTCTAAGTGACCACTCGGGATCGCACCAACAATCTACACCTGTTAGTTTCCACACCTTCAAAATTAAAAATAAACACAACTTTTGTTATCCATTGGATGATAAAAACCTAGAAATTCAATCAAGAAACTTATTTTTACTACCCTTACCTTACTCGCAGAGTGCACCAGTTTCTCTTTTCTTACTCGCATTTCTTGTGGATTTGATAGAGACATTTCCCAAACATCAACTTCAATTTTGGACTCCTATAATAACAACAATTAAATTATCACATCCATTGATGTTTTGTTTTCAAGAAAGTATGGTCAACCAATAAACTTACTTTAAGATTTTCAATTGCGCAAACATCTTCATCAACTGATGAATAGGCTGCCTGTGATGACTTCTCATTAATCAGAAGATCAGGAAGCGAAGTGTTGACCGTAGTCTGAAATCAGACCCAGAAAAATGTTAAATTTTATTTCTACTCCAGTCAAACTGGAGTGCACGTCGAGTGTGGAGCCTAACGGAGCTACTTACAATGTTGAACACATCAAGTTGTTCACTTCGAGGTGAATTCTACAAAAACAAAAAAACAAAAAAGAAAGAAAAGAAATGAAAAAAAATCGATTAGGACACCTGATTCAAACTAAGTGGGCAGAACAATTAAAAAACAACAAAATTAAATTAACAAATAAAAGTGCTGACCTTGTGCTCTACCACACGTCGCAAGTCCGCCAAGAGGTCCTTTATCGCCTCCAGGTGAGTTTCGTCGGTCTTGCCCATCACCGTCGCCGCGGTGGGGGTGTCCAGGATGACGCACCCCCCACGGCGCTCTGCGGGCAGGACCCCGTCGTCCATGCTAACCCCACGCATTACGTGCTTCTCGAGCTGTGCCAGTTTCACAATCAGCTCCTCGCCGGTCTTGTCGGCACCCCTGGCTCTGTGCGCTCGCGCCGCCCGCGAAGCTGTGCCGTCCAAGCAGTGCAGGAGATGCTGGTGGTCCCGGGCGCGGACGCCCCTGCCGCAGCCCGCCATAGGGCAGTCCACCCGCTGCACCAGGTCGCCGTCGTCGCTCGGCAGCGAAGACAGGGAAGATGAAGAACTAGTGCCGCCATCCTTCTTGGAGTAGAAGTCCCAGGGTTCGTCCACAGAGTCCTGGCTCGTGGGATGGCGGCGGCCGCGACGGGGCAGCGAGACGGGCGGCGGCAGGGAAGGGCTGGAGTCGCGGCCAGAGTCCTCGCCCGACTCGTTGGCCTCCTGCAGGCACAGCCGGCACACAGCGTGTCCGCAGTCCAGGGCCGTCGGCCGGCGCACCAGCCAGTCGAAGGGGCAGCCGCAGCACACGCACTCGAGCACCCCCTGGGCAGTGGCCTCTGCAGACCGAGAACACGCTCTTGCTGGACATGGACCAATGACAACGACATTCCTCACGGCGCAAAGTGTACTCACCAAGCCAACACACCAGCTGCAGGTCATCAATGAGGCTGTCCGCATCCCCCAAGTCCTCCTGGTCGTCATGTGGGCATCTGACCCTGCCACCCCAGCCGTTGTTGGAGACGCAGTGGCGACACAGCGTGTGGCCGCATGCCAGAAGTTTGGGTCGGTGCTCCTCCAAGTCAAAGTTCTGCGCGCACGACGAGCACTCAAGGAGCCCCTCCATGATCACCTGCGGGCAGGGCGGGTCGGTCAGGTTCGCGCGGCCGAGGTGGGCGTGGCGGGGTGTCCGTCTGCTACGCGGCTCTCGCAGTGCTCGTCTCACAAACAAAACGCTCGGAAGCCTACTCACACGACACTCGATAAAAACAATCCAATGCTCTCGTATTCCGCTGGGCGCTGGGCTGATTGCAGCCGCTTGTTGGGTGACGCGACGCAGCGGAGGTCAGGAAGGAACTGATGACATCTGACCACTGCGGCGGCGGCGGCGGTGATGCTGCTGGCTGTCGCTGTCGCTCTCGGCTCGGTACTGTTTGTTCGAGGTTTGTTGATGTGCCGCCGGGCACGTCGTCGGCGTCGCCTCGCCCAGGCTCCGTGCCTGCCGAGTACGAGCCGAAGATTTCCCGAAGCCGCTCGAAAGGGAAAGATTAAGAGTAGAGACGGGATTTTTTCGGTTCTAAAAAAACCCGGCAGGTATAGGGGGCAGGAGGGTGGGGTGGGGAAAGTTGGCCCCAAGGGCAGTTGCCGTGGCCGAGGTCATGTCACGCTGTCACGCCCGAGCACCACACACGGCGCGGCGCACGTGCGGCGCCACCCGTATACGTGTATATGTTCCTCGTTGCTCGCAAATGTGGGAGAGATTGATAAACTGCTCTGACCGCAGTGCCCACGCGGTGCCAACGGAGTGCGCTGGCCGCGGCCGCTATGGCGCCGGCGGCGAGAGCGGCCGCGCGGGGGTTCCCTATGATGGGGCTGATGCTGATGGGGGTCGGGCGGGCCTGGGCCTGGACCGCGAACGCACACGCACGGCCAAAAAACCCCAATAGTCCCGGGGGAGGCTCGCCTCGACCGTCGGACGGCTCCCGGTTCGACGAATTGTCCAGGTGGGGAAAATTGGGGGAAATGGAGTACAGCCACACTCACGATTATGATATTGGACTACGTAATAATAATTTATTTGCAAATACTGGGTACATTTAAAGCTGTCTCGTGCACCATTCTGCACCGCTCCCACCCCGGCGCGTCGGCCGGCACCTCACACCCGGGACGTGACGGACGACGCCCGCCTGCTGCGCGTGTGCACCGACGCCTCCTCCACCGAGCGGAGGTCGTCGGCGTCCTCGAAGTCCTCGGGGGGCGGCGGCGTCTCCTCCCTGCCCTGCGGCGCCGTGCCCGTGGGCGACTTTTGGAACCCTGCAGCAGACGACGT